GGGTTGTTTCTGTCTTTTGTTCTGCTGGCTCCCCCTGATGGGGTTTTCTGTCTTTTGTTTTGCTGGCTCCCCTGATCGGGTTTCTGTCTGTCTGTGTTCTCCCTGGCTGTCCTAAATGGGGTGCTTCTGTCTGTTTTTCTCCCGGGCGGGCCCTGATGGGGGGGTTTTCTGTCTGTCTGTTTTCTACGGGCCCTGCTCTGAAGGGGTTTTTGGTTTTTTCTATCTCTGTCTCTGCGGGCCGATCTGGGGGGGTTTTTTTCTGACCTCTGTGCTCGGGCTGGCTGCTCTGTTGGGTTTTTTTCTGTCTGTCTGTGTTCTGGGGCCCTGTCTAAAGGGGTTGTTTCTGCCTGCCTGTGTTCTGCGGGGTTCCCCTGAGGGGGTGTTTTGCCTGTGTTCTGCTGGTTTGCCCATGGGGTGTTTTGTCTGTCGTGTTCTGCTGGTTGGCCTGATAGGTTTTCTGTCTTGTGTTCTGTTTGGTTCCCCTGATGGGGTGTTTCTTTTCTGCCCTGTGTTCTGCGGGTTTGCCCTGAGGGGGTTTGTTTTCTGTCTTGATCTCCCTGGCACCCCCTGATGGGGTGTTTCGGTCTGCCCTGGTTCGCTGGTTGCCCTGATGGGGTTTTTCCCTTCTGTCTGGTTCTGCGGGTTTCCCCTTGGGGGTTTCGGGTCTGTCTGGTTCTGTTTGGTTGCACTGAGGGGGTTTTTACGGTCTGTCGGGTGTTTTGCGGGTTTCCCTTTTTTTAAGGTTTTTTCCTGACTTGCTCTGCTGGTTGACCTGATGGGGTGTTTTTGTCTGGGGTTCGGTGGTTGCCCTGATAAGGTATTTCTGTCTGTGTTTGCGGGGTTGCACGAGGGGGTGTTTCTCCCTGTCGGGTTTTTCGGGTGGTTCCCCTGAGGGGGAAACTTTTTTGTCTCTGTTCTGCTGGCTGCCCGGATGGGTGTTTCTGTCTGTCTGTGTTATGCTGGCTGCCCCTGATGGGGTGTTTCTGTCTGTCTGTTTTTGGCGGTTGCCCTTTGATGATTGTTTAACGTACTCCCTATTTTCCCCATTTAAATGTGTAGTTGCAGGGGTCAATCAAAGCCTTGGCCCTAGCAGAGGACGGGCTGGGGTTGAACCTGGCCCCTGAGTGATGGTTGATGGGGGGTTTGGGGTGGATCAATTGGCCCCCGGGGTTTTTTTTGGCTGGTGGTGGGAGGGGGTTTAGGGGAGCCGGGGCCGGGGGTTTAAAATTTAAATTTTATCCAGAGTAAAAAGGGAATTTTTTCCCAAAGTTTGTTGAAAAGCAGAGTCTCACGACATCTGGTGGGGGAAAATCATTGAAATAAGTGTACGTACGCGAGTACACCCCCCCCCACAAAAAAACCCCACCACAAAACCCTTGGGAAACGAGTGAAAAAGAGGCCCCCGGGAGAGGAGTTTAAATTTTTCTCAGCTCCTTCCCTCCCCCCCCCCTTTCCAGTTGGCCGTCACCCAAAAATGTCACTATCTTTTCCCAGAATGATTTCCCCCCTCCCTTCCCCCCCTTTCTTTTCCCCTCCCCCCTTTCCTCCCTCTCCAAATTTTAATTTTTCTCTTCCAAAAACCTTTTTCCCCCCCTCTCTTTTCCCTCCCCCCCTTTCCCCCCCCTCCCTTCCCGCCTCACCCCTTTTAAAATGAACTTTACCCAGTCAAGCGTATTGGTCAGTGTATGTACACAAAGATTTATGTGTATATCTCGGGTATCCCTATATACACTGGGGTTTGCCTGCTAGGGTAATGAAACTTCTCAGACAACACACAAGAGACTGTTTAAAGAAAGTAGCTGCACATGGAAACAGGAGGAGATTTTTTCCTGGGCGAGACATGGCTGCCTACGAGGAACAGTGGGGTTTAAAATTAATTAATGGGGGAAAGGGAAACAGAAGGGGAAACCTTTTCTGTGGTGGGACCACAGGGGCCAGTTTTGGGGCCCCTTTTTGTTTTGGGGGAGCCATTTTAGGGGGTGTTTCCCCCGGGGCCGTTGGGGGGTTTTTTGGGACCCCTTTTTGTTTGGGGGGGGCCATTATGTTGGGGTACCCAAAAGGGCCCTGTTGGCAAACCCCTTTTTTGTTTGGGAAAAAGCCCGTACAATTTGGGGTACCACAGGGGGCCCGTGTTGGCACCCTTGGGTTTTTTGGGAGACCAAATTAAAATAGTGAAGAACCCCAAGGGGGCCCGTGTTTTGGGACCCCTTTTTTGTTTTGGGGGAGCCATTACTAAATGGTGACCACAGGGCCAGTGTTGGGACCCTTTTTGTTTGGGGGGCCCTTTCTATGGTTTTACCAAAAGGGCCCCGGTTTTGGGACCCTTGTTGGGTTTTGGGAAAAGCCATTACTAGTGGGGGTACCACAAGGGGCCCGTGTTGGGACCCCTTTTTGTTTTGGGGGAGATTACTAGTGGGATAAACCCTAGGGGCCGTGTTGGCACCCTTGTTTTTTGGGAGAGCCATTACAAATGGGTGTACCCACCCCCGGGGGGGGGGGGGGGGTGGGGGGTTGGGGACCCTTGTTGTTGGGGGGGAGCCATTTTCTAGTGGGTACCACAGGGGGCCCGTTTTGGGACCCTTTTTGGGTTTTGGAGAGCCCTTACTAGTGGAAAAACAATAGGGCCAGTGTTTACCCTTTTTGTTTTGGGGGAAACCATTACTATGGGGTCCAAGGGCCGTTTTTGGGAAACCCCTTTTTGTTTTGGGGGAGACCATTACTAGTGGTGTACCACAGGGCCCGTGTTGGCACCCCTTGGTTTTTTTTTTGGGAGAGCCATTACTATTTGGGGTACCACAGGGGCCCTGTTGGCACCCTTTTTTGTTTGGGAGTCCCTTAATAGTGAAGAACCCCCGGGGCCCGTTTTTTGGGGCCCCCTTTTTGTTTGGGGGGGGCCATTACTAGGGTGTACCTCAGGGCCAGTGTTGGCACCCTTTTGTTGGGAGACCATTTCTAGTTGTTTACCCTAAAGGCCCGTGTTGGCACCCTTGTTTGGGTTTTGGGGAAACCAATTTTTTAGTGATGTACCACAGGGCCATTTGGGGACCCTTGTTTTTTGGGGGGAGCCAAATTTCTAGTTTATGTTTCCACAGGGCCCGTGTTGGGGACCCTTGGTTTTTTGGGAGAAACCATTACTAGTGGGGATCCATAGGGGCCCGTGTTTGGGACCCTTTTTGTTTGGGAGAGCCAAATTTTCTAGTGGGGTACCCCGGGCCAGGTTTTTGGGACCCTTGTTGTTTGGGAGAGCCATTACTTTGTGGTTTTAACCCAGGGCCCGTGTTGGCCCCTTTTTTGTTTGGGGGAGCCCCTTTTTATTTATGTACCACAGGGGCCCGTTTTTGGCACCCTTGGGTTGGGGTTTTGGGGGGAGCCATTAATAGTGGTGTACCATAGGGGGCCCGGGTTGGCACCCTTGTTTTTTTGGGAGAGCCCCTTACTAGGGGTAAACCCCAAAAGGGGCCCGGTTGGCACCCTTTTTTGTTTGGGAGGCCTTACAATGGTGTACCATAGGGCCATGTTGGCACCCCTTTTTGTTTGGGAGAGCCATAATAGTTGGTTTTACCCCAGGGGCCCGTGTTTTGGGGCCCTTGTTGTTTTGGGGGGGAGCCCTTACTAAGGTGTACCACAAAGGGGAGTGTTGACACCCTTGTTGTTTTGGGAGGGCCATTATAGGATGTACCACGGGCCCGTGTTGGCAAACCCCGTTGTTTTTGGGGGAAAACCCTTTCTAGTGGGGGTACCACAAAGGGGCCCGTGTTGGCACCCAAGTTGTTTGGGAGAACAAATTTTCTAGTGGTGTACCACAGGGGCCCTGTTGGGACCCTTTTTGTTTTTTGGGGACCCTTACTAGTGATTTAAACCCCAGGGGCCCTGTTGGCACCCCTGTTTTTGGGAGAACCATTTCTATGGTGTACCCCAGGGCCAGTGTTTGGGACCCTTGTTGTTTGGGGGAACCCCTTTCAATTTGGGGTACCCAGGGCCAGTGTTGGGCACCCTGTTGTTTGGGAAGGGAAACCCTTTCTAGTGGGGTACCCGGGTCAGTGTTGGAAACCCCCGTTGTTTGGGGGGAACCTTACTAGTGGGTACCAAGGGCCCTTTTTTGGCAACCCTTTTTTGTTTGGGGGGGAAACCATTTTAGTGGGGGGTAC